AGGTTGGCTACTTTTTTCTCATTTGATTCATCATTAAAGAAGTCACTATGACTTCATGTTGTAACCATTGCTTTCTTTTTTGGCTTTATTGCATTTTATTTTTTCACAAAGGATAATTAAATTTGATATGACCCAATTTGTTGTATTCATAACAAATAACGTGATCCCTTTTTTTTTTTACTTAATTTTCCCTTGATCATTTCCCTTTGTGATCTTTTTTTATTTAAGAACTTATTCATCTTCATGAACTTTTTGAACCTTTTTACAAATATGACCATTTCTTCATGCTCATCAACCTTATCTTGTTCAATCTTTTTTTTTTCTTGAATGATTGATTTGAGAGCAATTTCACCTTTTTTAATTGGTTCTTGTTCATGCTTAAGCTTTATCTTATAGGTTAGGAAAGAATATATGAATTCATTTCAAGAAAGTATGTAAGGTTCTTTAGATTCTTCAATGGCTGTCACTTTAGCCTCTCAACTTTTTGATAGACTATTTAAAATTTTTTTCACCATTTTCACATTTGAATAAGTCTTCCCAAGAGCTTTCAAAACATTAATGATGTCAATGAAACGGTTTGCATCTCACTAATGGTCTCTTCTAGTTTCATCTTGAATTAGCTCATAATCATGAGTAAGCATGCCAATTTTGGTCTCTTTCACTTGATTTATACCTTCATGAGTAACGACCAATTTATCCTAAATCTCCTTTGCATTTTCACACAAAAAATCTTTGTTATACTCACTAGGCCCCAATGCACAAAAAGGTGTATGCATTACCTTGACATTGAGTTCTATCATCTTAATATCATTAGCATCTCATTCACTTTTTTGCTTTATTACCTCTTTATCTTCAACCCTTTTTATTAGAATTTAAAAACCACTGATAATAACTCTTCGAACATCATAATCATTTGCTTAAATAAAGAATCTCATTATTGTTTTCCAATATAAATAGTTATCACTAACAAATAGTGGATGTCTTACAATGGAATTACCTTCACTACTGAAAGATATGGCAACCATTTCATTTGCCATTAAATACACTTCTTGTTGCTTTCCATAATTGTTGTAACTTATGAATGGTTATTCTTCATTCATCACCATATTTTTTTTGAACCATTTAGGATCACTTTTAGGTTGTTAGACCTAAAAAAAAAAGTACTAGCTCTGATATCAATTATTAGTTCAAATATTTGAATTAAACCAAGATGGGGTGAAGTGATTAATTACAAAATTTAACAATTTGAACACCAATTAAACAATAACCATAAATATTGATTTTTAAACAAATAAACACAATATATAAGCATAAGATAAACAACTTGAGATGTAAAGAGGTAAAGTTTGAGAATCAAATATCGATATTTATAAAGGTTTGGTCATTTCTCAAGGCACTTACATCCTTTCCCTTAACCTTAGTTACCAAAGAGTCTAATCTACTATGTGTTGAATGTTACAACCTAGTTTTTCAAAACTCTATAAAATCAACAACATAATCTTTTAAGGGTTATCTTTTCCCTTAAGCTCACAACCTCACAATACAAGTTTTAAAGTATTTTTGCAAACTCAAAGAACCTCTATAAGGTTAAGTTTTTGCAAATTTGAAGTATAAATCAAAGTTATGAACGATATCAAAAGAGAAACAAATATAAAATTCAAATTTCTACACTTTTCTCACAACAAAATGCTCTTTAATACTTGAAGAAGATGGTGGATGGAAGCAATAAGTTTTCTTATCTTTTAATAGCTTGTAATGTGGTAGAAGACTTTTTTTTATATGTAGAGAAAGGAAGAGAGCCACTAGTTTCATTTAATGTATGGAGCCTCTACAAATCAATAAGAAAATATGATCGTTTAAGCTTGTCAAGGTCAAATTGATCAATCACTTTTTAGAGGGGATCGATTGATTTTGGCTTTACAAGCTAAAACACATTGCATTTAAAACATGTTTTGCTTATATATAAAAAAAGGGATCGGTTGGCCTAAAAATAACATAGATTGGTTTTTTGAAGTTTTGAAACAATTTTTGCTTCTGCTTGAAAAATAGTCAATCCATTTTAGAGAGGGGATCAATCAGATCATACATACCCTCGAGCCAATCGATTGGCTAAAGGAGGAAATCGATTGGTTTTCATAAAACTTGCATAAGAAAACATTTTGGACAAAAGTGGATTAATTTGGTGTTTGAGGGGATCAATCATTTTCATGCATTTTTTGCCAAAAACATTTTTAAACCATGAGAAAGGATTGTTTTTGTTCGAAAATAATTTTTCACTTGATAAAGGGCTAGAAAAATATTCAAATTAAGTTTAAAGGAATTTTAATTTAATTTTAACAAATTTTTGTTTTATCATTTCAAAATACTTTATCAATTCAAGGCTAATGATAGGTCATTTTCATTTTTAAGATATATACTTCTTTTTTTAGCCTAAAACTGAATCCAAAAAATATTTACTAACAAAATTAAGGGTTAAAAAGTGATTTTATTTTTATATAATTATCAAAATTACTAGTATTTTAGTAACTATTTATTATTATAAATGTAACAAGTAAAAATGTTTTATTATTATCTTTTTATATAGAAATTGTTTTAGTGATGACATTAACAAATTTTTTTATAAAAAAATTATTTTGTTATGACCATAAAAATATATGGACCAATATATTATTTTTTTAAATTTGGGGATCAAAATGATATTTACCTCAAAATTTAGGGAACATGAAATTGATTTATTCTTAAATGTAAAACATTTGAATTTGAAAATGATAAATAGTACTCATAATCCCTAAACTTTAACAAAATTTTATTTTGATCCCTAATTTTTAAAAAGTTCTAATTGGATCTTCAATTACCAAAAATTATCCTATTTTGATCCTTTTGTTTATGGCACTATCCAAATTGAAGGGCAAAAAGGCTAGTTAGTATCACGTGGATGGTAGTTTGATGGCACAGTTGGCATCTTACGTGGTAGATGAAAGGACAAAATAGAATTTAGCTCAAAGTTTAGGGATCATGGATTCTAGTTTAATGATTTTTTTTTATATTTAAGATATATTTTATAAAATATTAAATTTAAAATTATAATTTTATATTTTTTAAATTATAAGATTTTATTTGTTAAATATTTTTTATTTTTAATAGAAAATAAAATTTTAAAAATTAAATTTAAGTCTAAATTTTCAAAATCGTTTTGAAAAAATTGATATCATTTTTTTAAAATTAAGTAAAAATTCTTATATCGGTTTAAAAAATTAAATAAAAAACTTCAGATCTTTTTAAAACATTAATTAAAAATTTTCAAATTATTTTAATAATTAATTTATTAATATATTTTTAATAATTTCCTATTGAAAAAAATTATTTTGAATCTATTCTTTATTAAAATTTTTATTTATAGAAAAGTAAAAAATAGACAATCAAAACATTCGTTATTGTATCTGATCCAATAAAGGAATAAATCGAGTTATTGAAAATAATATTTTTTATTTTATATAAGTATAAATTTTTTGATTAAAATATATTCAAACAAGATTTTTTAAATAGGAAAAAGATTTTTGAATAGACTCATAAATCTATTTTTTAAAATGATATAAATTTTTTACTTAATATTTCAAAATTATATGGAGCTTTTTATTTAATTGTTTAATTGATAAATAAGTTTTTTTATTTAAGTTTTTAAAAATGATATAGAATTTTGTAGAACTGATTTTTAAAATTAATGGATTTTCAAAATTTTAAGTAAATTTTAATTTTTTAAAATATATTTTCTATTAAAAATAGTATTTTACTAATAAAAATATCATAATAAAAAATAAAAATTATTTTAAATTATAATATTTTTAAAATATATATGTAATGTAAAAAATCAAATTTTCTTTAATTATTTTTATTTTTCTTTTATTTTCCTGTTCCTTTTTTATAAAATATATTAGAAAAAGAAAAAGAAAAGGATATTTTATATTTTAATTGAAAAATTTTTTTGGATAGAAAATAATATTTTCTATTATAATTTATTAGTAAATCATATTTTTTTTATATAAAATGATATGAAATTTTTTCAAAAAGATTTAAAATTTAACTTAATTTTAATTTTTAAATATCTATTTTTATAAAAACAAAAGAAATATTTAATTAACAAATTATATTACAATAAAAAATATAAAAACGTTTTTAAATTTAATATTTTATAAAAAATATTTGAAATAAAAATTTAGTTAGTAGTATCTTTGGTCCTTAAATTTTGAGCAAAATTTTATTTTGTCCATTTATCTGTCACGGGAAATGTCAGTTGACACCATCTATATGATGCCAATTGGCATTTACTACTAATTTAAATGATTCTATAAGCAAAATAACTAAATTAAAATAATTTTGAACAATTGAAGATCCTATTAGAACTTTTAAGGTTTACAAATCAAAATAAAATTTGATTTAAAGTTTAAGAATCATGGTATTCTTAACTCATTTAAAAATAATCGAATCTCAAAATTGTACATATTATAACGCGAACTTAAAATAATGTGAATTTGAAGTTATCTAATCTTGAAATAATTCTTAACTCAAAACAATTCAAAATGAAAGTTAATAGAAAAAAAACTGAAATGATAATCCAAAAAAAAAATTCAACCTATAATTAAGTAATTTTGTAACTAATGATAATTTTTTAATGAAAATATTAAAATTTGAAAATAATATGATTTCTATTATTATAAAATTATATAAAATACATTTTCAAGCTTGTTATGTTGAATTTTAACTTATTAGCCTACTTAAGAAATTTATTTTAATTGTATTGAAAAATGAAAATTAAAATAAAATCAATTTTGTTAATTGAATTTGGTATGAAATTTGTCAAAAGTTTTTTATATTGTATGATAAAATAATATTTTCTTCAGTTTAAATTGAAAGTCCATTGTTTTTAGTGTCGTAAAAATAAATGTTTACTCGGCAAAACTTTTGAAATGCCACAAATGTATAAGAATATGGGTTTTATTAGAATTTATTATTCAGTTCGCTTTACTTGGAGGGGCGGAGGCAAGTGGGAACTGTAGTATAAGATTCCCAATACACATCTATCAACTTTACAAACAAACAACCTTTTCTTTTGAGAATAAAATAAACAAAAATATCTCTCCCTTATTGCCTTGTATCGTGTGACCAATGCTTTAATTTCACCGAGTAAGCTAAATACCTTTTTTTTTTACCTCTTGTTTTCCATCTGGAAGCTCTCAGAAACCGCATCTGGGAAACGCAGAAAAAAAATGGCGCCGCCAGCAGCAGTGGGCGGAGGAGGAGGACAGCAACAGGGGCAGCAGCAACAAGGTGGACTTGGACAGACCATAACTGGAATCATAAGGATCGCCGTGTTTTGGTACTTTGCTTCCAAATTCTTCTCTCCAAAAAGGCCGCCCGCGGACCCTTCTAACCTCATCTCCAATCTCTTCCAGAAGGGCGAACCCTTGGTATGTTGCTTCCAACAAAATTCATAAAACAAAGTTAAACTAAACCCTAAAATCGAACATGAATTTCATCTTTCCCTAGTTTTCTTGATCTATGATTTTGTTTCTCTGTTTTCAGGATATGTGGTTATATCTTTCTGAGCATGAAAAGTTCTATGATTTTGGGAACGAAGCTTCTCTTGTATGGCATGAAACTAGTATTCCTTACGCCACTTGGGGTTCTGAAAGCACCCATACTCTTTCTTTAAAGTACTATCCTTCCGAGGTAAGGTTTCTTTTTACATGCTTGCAGTTAGGCTGTTGCTCTCTTAGATAACATGAAGAAGTTGATATGTTATCTTTCAGGCCTTGAAAAACAATGGCAGTCTCTATGCCCACGTTTTCTTTGCACGCTCGGGTTACCCTCCAGATCCAAATGACCCTGAATACCAGCCTCAATCTGCCTTTGGGAGGACTTATCGTGGGTCTCCCTGTCTGTCATTATGTTCTTTTTCCATTTGATGGGGATTAATGGTGAACAAGTAACCTCCTTGTAATTTGATTTCAGCTGTTGTGACATATTTGCCCAAGTCAAGTTCTGATAAGAGGAAAAGTCTTCTTGGGAATTCCAAAGATGCTGAAGGGGTTGAATCAGTGGCTATGGTTTGTTCTTTCCTAGTATAACATATTTCTAAGGATGTTGTAACTTTTAACAAAATGAACTTTGGGTTCATGTAGAGTGGATCTAAACTTTCTGGGTGTTTATATGTTTAAATTTCATTCAATGTTCCTCATGATAGAATCTCATTTATTTCTATTTTTGTGTGCTTCCAATTCTCTTGAATTTTGCAACAATATAATTATCTTAGTGTGGAATCATTTTGCTTCAGGTGGCTGATGATGCTGAAGCTGACTCCAAAGATGATGGCCCTATTGAGTGGATTGCTTATTGGAAACCAAATATTACAATTAACTTGGTTGAAGATTTTACAAGGTAAGTTTCTGCTTAATATCATGTTTCTGTAATGTTCTATTGAAATATAAGATTAGTGTTGTTTATCTTTATTCTATTTCATGATTTCATGACAGATTTTTGGAAAATAAACTAATGTTTTGGCCTTTCTTCTTTTCCAGATACGGGCACAACGCTGTACCACCAAATATTGCTCCTTGTATCCTTATGCTACTTTTTTGTCATTCCACATCTCAGTTATGGTTATTGAGTCCTATATAATTTTGAACTTTCTTGGTTGACTCTTATGTTCTTATTGGTGCTTATTTTGTTCTTAAAGAAAATTATTTATGTTTTACATGGTATGATTTGGATCCTGGGACATCGTTTTCTTTTAATTGACTTCAGTTTTGGCAGTAGAAATTTGGTCAAAACTTGGTCCTAGGTCATGCAAGTAAAGTTGTGTATGGGAGTTTATCTAGGAAGGAAAAGCAGAGGATTATAGTTCAGCTCTGCCACTCTTCTTCTTATACATTAGTATAGATAGTAATTTGGTGAAGATCAGCTCAGTAATTTTCATCATAAATGGGATAGTAACTAGTGAAGACTAGCTCAGCCATTCTAATCATACAGTAGTGTAAATAAGTATCAGATTGGAGTTAATCTAGGAAGGAAGATCGGAGGACAAAAAGCATCAAAGTTTGAAGCTACTTTGGTGTATCATACTTTTTTTATTAGCAATTATTGATCGAATATAAACTTTTATTGTTTTCTCGTCTGTAATAACATTTCTATGGTCGAGAATTAATTGAACTCATTCCTACTTTTTATGTCAATTCCTTGGTTTAGGTATATGATTTTTTCTCCATTGACTGATTAAGGTTCTATTTCTAAGAACTGTTATTTTTTTGGTTATAAGAAATTGTTCTATCAAAATGATCAATTGTTAGCATATTGATCCATTCAAAATTTTACCATAATTTATTTGAAGATCAATCTAGATGTAACCATAACAAAGATCTGTATTCTTTTAGACCGATGCTTGCTAGCTTTTATGTCAATCTAGATGTAGCCATAACTTGCTTAGTCACAATGATCTGTATTCTTTTAGGCAGATGCGTGCTAGCTTTTATGTTTTTTGATTGGAAATCATCCTGCTGGATATATTATGTTCGTTGAGTTGCACCATTATTTGGCGATATGATAGTTACGTTTGGTGGCTACTATTAGTGTGTTAGAGCTGCAGATACAGAGCTTTAAGTTTCTTGACTTCAGATTTGCAGACTTAAATATTGAGCCTAGTAAAGGAAATTACTACCCGACCATCTTCTTCAACGAATTTTGGTTACTTAGAGATAAGTTGATTGCAATTAATGAGTCGGTGACAGAATTGCCACTTAATTTGGAGGTTGGCCCCATAAGCATGATGAAGTGGCAACTATTCCTCCAAATTGACCAATCATTCCAAATTCATCGTAGTTATGGAAGCATGCTTGAAGGCGAGGCTGATGAACTGAAGGTATTTCTTATCTTGTATTATCATGGGAAGTTTAGATATTTCAGAAATAATTATGATGTATAACTAGCTAAAAAGAGTCAACATATGGTCTATATTTCTACTTTTAAAGTTACATTCTCAGAGTTTAAAAACTAAAAAGAAATCTCATTCTGCAAAAGAAAGCAAATAACCCTAAACCCTTAACTTCTACCTTGAAGTTCAAAATTCTTTTATTCCCTTTTATCTTTTCAAATGCTGACTATTTACTTGATAAATTTCTGTAGAGGGTCTTCCTGGAAGGAAATCCTTACTTGCTAGTGATTACAATGGTCGTTTCTTTGCTTCATTCTGTGTTCGACTTCCTGGCTTTCAAGAATGGTAAAATGACTCTTTATTTTGAAAATGCTTCAATACCTACATAGATTTTTTTTTTGGATAATTCTGTTGTACACTGGAGACATAGCTTTAGTATGTTGGTTTTCTTTGCAGATATCCAATTTTGGAACAAAAATAAGTCTATGGAAGGACTGTCTGCAAAGTCTGTTGTAGTGAACTTTTTGTGTCAGCTCATTGTTTTCCTCTATCTACTTGATAACGAGACCTCATGGATGATACTTGCTAGTTCTGGAATTGGTTGCTGCATTGAGTTTTGGAAAATAGGGAAAGCGATGCACATAGAGGTACGAGTTCATGCCTGCCCTTATTTTGCTGGGTATCATTTAAATTGTGGCAACCTTCCAGGAAAGAAAAAGAAAAAAAAAAGGCATTTATGCTGAAAGTTTGATACTAAATGAGATCCCTATGTGTGTGCGTGTGTGTTAAACTTTTCTAATTCTATGAGTATATAGTCAACTTTGTCTTATAGGTAATCGTGCTTTCTTCTTGGTTATAATCGATCTTCACTCCTTATAAGTGTTTTATAGTCAAAGGCCATTATTTTGAGGATTGCAAATATTTTGAGTATACATTCATATTCTACCATCAATTGAATCGAGAAAACCATCATTTTGAATCAGCTGTCAAATATTTAAGAGGCATATTCGGACATGAATGTCTTTTCCATGCATGGTTTTTAGTTAGATGCCCTATTCTTCTCTTCTTTTTTTTTCTTCTTCTTTTTTGTTGTAGTTGCTTGTAAGATAACAATAGAGCCATCATTGTTCTTACTTTTCTTGTCGGCATACCAACCTAATTATTTGTCTGAAACTATAGAAGGTCTGTATTCTGCTAATGTTTTGGCAGTGTGCCAGATGTTCTTTCATGAACTGTTGCACTTATCTGATATTATCATGATGTTTCATTTGAAACTCGATTTTTAGTACTTGATGCCATTACAACTAGGCCACGTCTGGTTATCAACCAGGTTTTAGTTAATTTATTGTAAGAGTATCAAATTTAGCAATATTTCTTTGTCAAATTCAGATTGATAGAAGTGGAAGGATACCTATGTTGAGGTTCCGAGATCGTGATTCATATGCGAGCAATAAAACTAAGGAATATGATGATATAGCGATGAAGTATTTGTCCTATGTGCTCTTCTTCCTTGTTGCATGCTTTTCTATATATTCCCTTATGTATGAGCGCCATAAGAGCTGGTATTCTTGGATTCTTTCTTCCCTCACAAGCTGTGTATACATGTTTGGTAAGCCATCTGTCCTTTCCTGTTTATTGCTTTGATACTTCTCTTGGTGACCTGCTGCCAACTACAAGTTATTAACATGGTGAAAGTTTAATGTTGTGAAAGTTGGAGAAGAAAATAATAATTACTTCTAAAAAATTTCTTTCCATGTGGGACTTCTAATATTTTGTCATCTGCTCTTTTTCTTTTTTTAAACCTTGATGCATTAAGTAAAGCCTTTGAGCCTCAGTCCCTGTTTTCCTTAAGAATCACTAGCTGGTACACAAAATATTCGTCCTTCTTGTGAAATGCCTATGCTGTTTCAGGCTTAACAAAAAGCTCCTGATAGGCAACCAATTACTGCTGTTAGATAGAGGACAAAAAGTTATACCTTATAATAGGGTGAGCAAGGACCCTTCAAGTTAACATTCTTAGTAGAAGTGGGGACCGTTACTTGTTGAAGTTAAACTTAGGTTGCCTGTTTCGTAATATCTGATCATTACATGAATTATTTTATGCTTAGGCTTATTAGTTATACTTCAGGAAGAGAAAGGGGCCACCTGAATAATGATGAATTTGACTCCTTGTCCTTATGGCTACATAATTGGTTTGGACAATAAGCCTCAACATCTACTTGTTATATGGATACGTGGTTCCTTTTACACCTATAATTCTTATAGAAAGTTTTCGGTTTAATTCTTTATTTGCTACTGAATTTTCAATTGTGCATATGTATAATGCAGTAATGTTACTTCTATGCTTTTGGCAGGTTTTATTATGATGTGCCCTCAGCTTTTCATAAACTATAAGCTTAAGTCCGTTGCTCATTTACCCTGGAGGCAGATGACTTACAAGTTCCTTAACACCATCATTGATGATCTCTTTGCATTTGTCATAAAAATGCCAACACTTCATCGGCTTTCTGTCTTCCGTGATGGTAAGATATAATTCTTTCTTGTTGTCTTTTTTTTAATTGATGCTTTGGTTAGTTGGGGGAATAAATAGGAGGAAGGAACAAGTTTTTAATCCAATGCTCTCCCTTCCATACTTACCAAGCAAATCTTTGTATGTTTTGGATTTATAACCCGAACAGATACAAAAGGCTGAATGACCTACTATCTGAAAATTTATTTGACCTAGTAATGACAAATTAATTATGAAAGAGTCTCAGTAAACCAGAAAAAAAAAAAAACAAAAACAAAAACAGAAAATTTTAACTCAAACGTGGGATGTATTTTTTATATTAGTGCCAGTGTTAACCATACTCTCATCAGCCATTATATGTTTTCATAATCAAAGGGTAAGAGCTGGGTTGGTCTCTCACCAACTTGACTCTTCAGGGTGTGTTGGTCTCTGCTTAGCAATTATGATGTTTCTTGACCTTTTTTTCATTTTGTGAAGTTATTCATTAATATCTTTATATATTTGTATCATAGAGAGATCGGATATATCATCATGAACTTATATCTGGGACCCTTGTCATTAAGGGTTGAAAGCTGGTCAAATGCTGACATCTGCTGTACTACTTGCAAAATTTATATATAGGATTAACGGTCACAATAACTGATCCATCCTTGCTGTAATATGAGTTCAAGATCATTTTGTATTAGACGTATTCTGTTAGTATATTGTGTTTTCGCTGCATATTCTGTGTAATTCTCATTCTCATGCTTATTTTGCAGATCTTATATTTTTAATCTATCTGTACCAGAGGTGGGTATATCCTGTTGACAAGAAACGTATAAATGAATTTGGTTTTGGCGGTGAGGATGATCAGACGTCTGGCAGCACCGATGTTACTACTGCCAAGGAAGATGAGAAGAAAATCAACTGAGCTTGTTTTGTTTTTTTTTTTTTTTTTTTCCCTCTAGTTTAGTTGAAAGAAATGTAAAATTGATGTGCTGTGACCATTATTTTTAAGTGGGACTTTTTGTTTTTATAAATTTGGATTGGAACGCTGTTCCTGAAAGGTCTGGTTACAGGCCATTGCCTCTCTCCAGGATTCTAATGGAAAGAGCACTCAGATTTGTGTCACCATGTGAAGTTAGCTATATAACATGGATATATCAACATCTATTTTTGTTTATTTTGATTAATTTGATGTTTTCCATTTTTCTTAAGAATTTTTGCGCATAACAACTATACTCTAAAGAGCTCAGCTTGGTCATCTGATCTCTAAAAATGGCCAAAGTATATGCATTCCTTGTTTTTAACATGCTTTTGATGGGCGTGATGTTTGCACGTATAATCATTTACCCAGTTTGAAATTGTGATTTTGTCGATTATATGAGACCTAGTAGAGTGTAACTCAAAATGAATTGGAGAAATTACTGCACTTAAAAAGGGTAGTTACCAAGGCCTTGAAAAATTTTAGCATTGCGAGAAAAATCAAGTCTGGAACAAGGAAATAGGATGAGACCATAGTGGTTAACAACTTGGTAGGCATTTGGCAAGCTAGTTACCAGATGACCAATCGTATTGGTTGTAGGATATGTGATAATTGAGCGTTATTTTTATTAGTTAAGGCATTTTTTATCTATAAATTATTAGTATTACATATTTAATATTATTTCTTAGATAAAGTTCATAAACTAAATATGTTTTGCAAAGGAATTACAAAGAATTATGAAATCATTACATCAAAACTATATTCATAAATTATTTAGTTAATGCTTTTATTAATATAAAATATTGACAAAGCTATTGAGATCGACACATGATTATACTCTTACTTGTGAAGTAAACAATCGTTTTCATAAATTAAAAGTTGGAGAGACTTAAGTTAACATGTGAGTTCTTATCATAAGAATGAATTTACTAAACATAACTCAACATAAGAATGTAATTTGATAAATCACTTAGAGTTTACGAAAAATTTTTCATATTATAATTTTATAAATGATCTTCTAACTTTAAATTACTATTAATTTTATATGATAAATGTTATACTTTGATTTTATCTTATGGTTTTTAGCATGGATGCCCTACCCATAGATGCCTTAGTCAGATATTATTGTATATAACATCACACATATGAAGATACACGAGTAATTAATATAGAATTTATCACCTTGAGCAATCAAGAGAAAATTCCAAGTAGTCTTGGTAAGATTGCACAAAAAAAAAAAAGTAGTTTTGATCAAAATTAACTTAAGAAATCTTTGACTAATGTGTATAAAGTTTTGAAATAATTCTAAAACTTATTTGAAGAGTTAATTGCTAAACTTGAGACTTAAAATGATTAAACTAATTGAATAAACACTAATCTATGCTCAAAGTTAAATCGAGATATTTTGTGATGAAATAATATTAATTATATGGAGAAATTAAAAATGGAAGGTTGACCAAATCCTTTTGACATTTCCTATTAATAGGGTGATAATAACTTATTATTAGATGACAATTGTGATTTGTAAGTACAAAAGTGATTAATTAGAAAATTAATGCTGAATTCAACAGTTTTTATTCATATAATTTAAATTAAATAAAGATTACAATATTTATATTTATTGTCATATTAAAAAGTCTAATGGATCGCACATTAAAAAAAAAAAAAAGGTAGCTTGTAGAATATTAAATTAAGGACTATTTAAGTTTAAGTTAATTAAAGAAAGTTAGGAACTTCAAAATTAAATTAAGTAAATTAAAAGTTTAAGAAAAATAGTTAAAAGACACAAAACCTATTAAGAATAGGTCTTGATCGTATTGAAGAATGTTTGGTCGCTCCTGTATATGCCATTCATTTATAATCTCGTGTTGAGAAACCGTAAAACTAAAATAGTCAATCGCATATACCATTAGCATAATATTCGGCGAGATTTCTTTACATTTTTTAAGAAGACTCTTTCACTCTTTGTTTGTGTAGACTTTCATCGAAGGTTAAACACTTAGAACAGCTTGGTGTTTGCAATGACTTAGATCAACGGTCCTGGTGGTTTAGCGTTTATTGAATAAAAAAAACAATGTAAATAATTTTTTGCTCTTGTTGATTGCTATTTATGATTGTATTTAATGTTATCAACGTGTGAGATGCTTGGTTTTTGGAAGTTAGAGTTGTCAAATGGGTTAATATTTCATAGCATGACTCAATTCGATTCGGTTTTGATCATGTTTGATACAATCACTATTAAATAATTGAGTTGGGTTAAACATGATACTTATGTGTGTTGTATTGGATTAAAAAATTTTAAGCTTATGAGTTGATATGATATGAGTCGTTAAAGATTAATATCAACATATAACACGTGAGTTAATATTATATTATATACAAGCCCAAATTTATTGTGCTATATTGACTTATAATTGTAATAAATGAGCTTTTAACATTTAAGTGTGTTCATATATTTTTTTATATTTTAATAAAATTATATTTATTTTTTGGTAATTTATAAAATAAAAATTATGTTAAATAAATTTATTAATTAAATATTTAAATTATTGATTAAATCTAACTTGTTTTTCAAACCATTCTAAGTTATTTTTATTTATTTAAATTTGTATATATAAAAACAAATTAACATTTTTTTAAAATTTATATGATTTAAATCTTCAAATTTATAACGTATATAAAAAGAAAGATTTTAGTTATAAAACAAAAAGAGGAACCAGTCATCCGAAAAAGCATAAGAAAAAGCGTAAGGTTGCATTTGCCACTTCTAATGATCTCATGCAAATTATATTTAGTTAGCATTCTAATGAGTCTTTAAATGTATTCCATTTTTCACAAAATAATTAACGTAATCAATTAACTACATTTATAGTGAAATTTGAGTAACCATTTGTTTTTATAAATGGTGAACATTTTAATGATTTAATTAGAGGTAGTATATTATCCAATTATAAAATAGTTTCACAAAATATCGATAGATCATATATTTTTAAAAAATTTTTCTTGTAAAAAAATTTAATATCTAGTTTAAAAAAATTTCCCCTAAAATTTCACTTATTTATGAAATATAAATAAGCTGACAACACCCCTTAGTTATATGTGTGTTATTAGGCATTAAATAAATGATGTGTGTATTATTTTAAAAATAAATATTGGAATTATAATTTCAATATTTTATTTAATGGATTCAATTATCCATTTTGATAGACATAGATATTTTAACGAATCATGTAAATTATATATTAATTAATAGAATATATTTAGTTCGGTATAAAATAAACTTTTGTGCCTAACGCGGCACAATCTATAAAGATTACAAATCATGTGCTGTGTTGGATTATACTCTTAACTTTCATGAATCGTACCAGCATGCATGTTAAAAAATTGTGCTGAACCAACATAATCAATTAACATATAAATTAATATTTAAATGGATTGTGCCTCCTTTCATAGGCTATTAGACATCTCTATTGGAAGTTAAAAAATTTTAAATTCCATTGTGTTTACATGCTTGCTTGATCAATCCAAAAGGCTGAGGGGCTGATGAAGGTGATTGATATGGCGAGAATGAGTGATCTGCTGAAGAGGGGGAGGAAGAGAGGAGAGGGAGAGGAGAGGAACAGGAGCGAAGGCAAAAAGAAAAAATTATAAAAATGAGAAATGAGAAATAAAATTTTTTTTTTGCTATTATTTTTATTTGTTTCGTTTTTAATTTTTTTCTTCTTCAGTTTCCTTATTTATCATATATTTATTTAAATGTCATAATTTAGAATAATTTAAAATATAAAAATATAAGATTTAATCATAAATTATAATCTTTTAAATTATATATTGCTTTCATAAAAAATTTTAAGTTCTTTTCAAAATAAAAAGAGAGATAAGAAAATAAGAAATATATATATATTTATATAGAAGAACAAAAAATTAAGAAATATAATTAAGATTTTATCAAAAGTATGTATATGATCTTCAACTTTTGGTAAGAAAACATGATTTTGAACCTTTATGTATAAAAACAATTTGACAATTTCCATCATTTTTTATTTTCTCATTTTTTACTAAATATTTTTCAACAACAAAACATTATGAGTTAGAATCATTTATAAAAATTTTATGAAATATACATAATTGATCTATCACTTTGCGTTGTAAAAATTAAAAAAGAAAAAGGAAGAGAACATGAATATGTTAATTTTTTTATCAACTTATTTTTTTTCTAGCTTTTTTTCGACTTTATTTTTACTCTTTCTTTTGTTAAATAGTTTTTGTTAAGTTGATTTAAACTAATATAAAATTTCATCAATTTACACCTTTAAAAATAAAAATTTATAAGTCGCACAGCATCGATGCTGACAGATTTTCTAATATAAGATGAAACTCGAATCCTCGAACCTAATGCCAAAACCTCCCTTCCTTTTTTTTCTTGTTTTATTAATACTCAATTTCACTTTTGATTTTAAGACCAACTTATTTGTCTCAAAAGTATTTTTATATGATCCCTCTTTCTTTTTTTTTTTCAATAGATTTTAGATGATCTTTCAATATCATCTATCTCTAATTCTAATGTTATTCTATTATGTATTTGCTTGGAGGAAAATTGGGGAAGGCTATATCATGCAGCCTGTTGGTAAGTTCTTCAGTTCCTATTATCAATTCTTCTCATACGTCACGACCCCTCAAAACCACCATTTGTACTTGCGCGGTTTCTTTTCCCAAAAATAATTTTGATAATTAAACTACCGAACGATACATGTTCAAAAAAATAATTTCGCTTTGGACTAGCTTTATTTGGAGTTGCATTGAAGAGGCAGCCCAAAATCTGGCACAAAAACAAAAACAAAAAAAAAAGCATTGTCGTTTAACCTACACTGCAAACATAATAGGAAAGAAACCGAAGACCAACTCAAATTTTTGATATGAACAATGTCAAAGCAAACACCACAAATATAACAAATCAACCATAGATGCAAGCTTAAATTAACTATTTTTTACCTTTTTTACTCAAATATTCCAATCTTTTAACACTCTGAGACTTTATAACTCAGAGGAGAAAATTTCAGTATTGTCTCAAAAAAGTTGATGAGGAAACCGGAGGACTCATGTCTTTGCCACTATCCTATATACCGTTGTAAAATCAAGCATCGCCAGTGCTGACTTTTGAAGTATCCGGAGTATACTTCTCCATGAGGTGGCTCAATTCAGTATCAAACACCTTTTCAAGCTCAACTTCTTCCTGCCAATGCCTCTGTCTCATAGCAGCCATCTTCTCTTCATGTGCTTTAATCAGCTTGTCCCTCTCACCTACAAAAGCCTCCATCTCTTCGTCCTGGAACTTTATGAATTTTGCTATTTCATCCGCCCTACAAATAATGATAAAAAATACAGATGAATCTCTCGTAACCAGAGTTAGCAACCCAAACCACCCCACCAGATTCCAACCCGACCTAACCTCATATGATTAGTTTTTTTTTTCTTTTAAATCAGGTTTCAAATAAGATCGAGTTGAATAATATTAAAAAAAAAAATCAAGTTCAGATTTTAAACAAACTCAATCCAATCCGATATTAAATAAAAATTATTTTTTATTATTCTTTTAAATTTTTATTTATATATAATTATATAATTATATATTTATATTTAAAAAATAATATTTTATTAATTTCGAGTTAAGTCGAGTTCAATATGGGTTATATACAATATCAGATCAGATCGAATTAAGATATTAAAAAAATAAAAAAATTTTCAAGTCGGGTTCAAAATTTATGAATATAAAACCGAGTCAGGTTCGGGGTGAGCAAAAACCCACCCCGCCCTGACCCAATGCCAACCCAACTCATGACCGCCAACTGCGACAGGTAAACAAGCAAACAAAAAAAAGATCTAGCAGCATTCCAGCTTATGAGAAAAAACTATCTGTTTTTAGTGCAAATCAGTTACATTATTATAATTACAGAACTTGTGTCCAATCCAATTACAAAAGGAAATTCACAGAAGTATCGACATTACGTACCTTCGCCTGTATTCCTCTGTATTTGAAGGATTAGGGTTAGATTGCTTGACCTTCTCACGCTGTTGCTGCTGCAGCTTCTCAAAATTCTCTTCCTTCTCATCTCTTGCTTCATGGATAAATTTGATTTGTTCCTTGAAGAATTGCTCTTGGAAATCCATCTGGGAAAAGCAATATAGGAAACAGTAAACATGAAGCAGAAAATAGAAAGAATTTATTCTATCAAGTACATGGTAAAATTCCAGGAAAGACAATAGCATGCTCTTCATCTGCTTAACAACAACCAACCTGCAAAATATGGCTTTGGACATGGATTCTATATTTATTCTGAATGCAGCTCAATGTTCTGACTACATACCTAAACTCCAAGCCTAGAAAATAGCCAGATTTATTCTGAAAGCAGTGGTCCTCGTAATAAAAATGCAGTGGCAATTGGAACTTTCCTTCTAGATACAGAGCAAACTTTTATGATCACCTCCACCATCATTTACCGGTAATAATTAGTTATGGAGAAAAAGCTTAGTCGAACAAAAAAGATCCGTTTGAGGATGGATTATAGCATTGATATTGGTATATCTGTGGCATGAAATGCAGCGGGATGGTTTGGCGTGTAGGGCAGGGAGTCATAGGTGTTAGGCAATTCATGAAACCCCAAAACAGCATCTCATCAAATCACTGTCATCAAATATCTATAAACAAAACGAACAAAACATGACAACCTATCTGAAATTGGAACAAAATATACATAAACAGTGCACTACATGTGAACTGATGGAACCAAGGCAGCAAAGCAGACATGCTATATTTATACAAGAGCACGTTTTATGCACTGACTTTGAGATCCAGATACTGAACATGTCAACCAAAAAAAGTAAACCAAGACAGGAAGACAGCAAGCAATATTCATTAATGTGAACTACATGAGACAATAACACAAGATCCTAAGAAATATTCATCACAAACCAGTAAGTTACTATTATGTACTATAGTATAAAATTAGTAACTAATGGTCCGGAGCCAACTGTCTAGCAAAAGATTTGTGAAGAATGCCACAGACTTGAATCTCAACCAGGACATGAATTTATCAAGAATTGAAACAATAACCTCTTCTTTGTTCTGTTCGTGCTGCATTTTGGTTCTTTGTCTTACAATCCTGTTCTCCTCCATTGTCTGCCGGAGCTTCTCACTCACAAATCCAAAAGATTCTTCAAGAGCACTTTTTAGCTTTTGCTCTTTAGCAACCTTGTTCTTGTAAAAAATAAGCTGCTGGTTGTCCTCACTCATTTGCCTGATTTGCTTAACAACCATCTCTTGATAGGATCTCATCTCAAATTTGAGCCTAGATTTGCCTAACCAGCAGATCAGTGATACAGCATGTCAATTAACTGCTCAAGTATCTGCAGAGCTACTTATTTGTGAAGAAAATGATATAGAAAAATCTCAGGCATTTAATGTTATCCTGCACTTTATCCCAACATGTATATAACCATCGTCTTTTGTCAGAGATAAAGGGAGATAACCTTGAGAATGCTGGTTGAAGCTGTCCAGGTCTTCCTTCATAGCCAGGTAACCATAAAGTTGGCGCTTCCCACCTGGATGAAATAAGACCCGATGGTGTTCCCAAGCCTCTTTATCTGTTCCTTGCTCAGCAAAATGCTTATGCAATCGCTCAGCTTCTAAATAACCCCTTCCTGTGCTCTCAAAAATCAGAACACTCATCCCACGATGCCCCTGCGGACCATATGAGTGGCGAGCCTTCACAGCAGCATATGAGCTGAAATATTCAAGAAGCTCTTGGTTTCCCATACCAATCCACTGAAGTATAATGCAATGAAAAACAAGATCAGAGCAGGATATAGAAACAGAATATTACTACTGTAATTAGAAACAATTAGCTTTATTTATTGTAGTATATCGGAAAATAAAATTGCATAAGATATAGCAGTACCTTATCATTCTCATCTTGTTCAAGCCTTGTGTTCATTATCATGACCATAGGTGGCCAAACTATTTCATAATCTTTTTCTTCATCTTTTAAACCCCTCCATTTCCCAAAAGCTTCACCAGCAGGAATAACTAAAACACCCCTTCTATGCAACTCCTCATCCAAGAGTTCAGCAAGTTCTCGATGGAGTTTCACCCTTTTTGCTCCTTTTGTTTTTGCATGTGTCACTAGAGGCTGAAGGCCTCGATACCAGTCAATAGCACCAGGACCACCATGGCATGCTGGGCAGTGCCACTGCCTTGCTGGGTCATTGATCTCCTCAATACTCATGCTATCTAAACCCTCGAAAAATTTCTTAAACCATCTGTTCTGTTTTCTTGTCTCCTGGCTCTTTTGACTTGAATCTGAACCAAAGTCATCGGTCAGAAGTTCATCATCAGAATCATCAACAGCATCATCATCTGAGTCATCCTCTACATCATCAATATCATTGTCCTTTTCAACCTCAGTGTTAACATTGTCTTTCCCACAATCATCACGTAAACCCTTAGATGGATTGGAACCAGCTCTGGATTGCCAATTCCATCCATGCTCAAGAGGTGGACGAATGAAGGGATGTGCAGGCACATGGTTGTTCTGGAAACTACTGTTGAATGTTTGGGGCCTAGCATTCCCTCTGCCAGTTGCCATCCTAGAATCACTATTATGTGTAGCCCACGCATTGCCAGTGGCTCTTCCTGATCCAGAATTAGGCCGCATGCCTCCCTGTGGTTTAGGATTGGAAGTTTGAGCACCCCAGGGTCTTGCAGCACTACTTCCAGCTCTATTCTTGGGCTTCCTCTGGATAACCTCCCACCAACCATCATCCTGTGCAGAATCCAAGTTCATGTCTGCTACACCCTGGCTTAACTGCTCAACCTTGGGGCTAGAGACTCCAGATACATCTTTACCCTTGGATGATGGGTTGTTAATGCCACCAGCAACAAAAGGGTTTGCGGCCCCTTTTCTTGAACTCATCCTCCAACACAATCCTCTGTTAAGATATAACAAAATTGATTGTTAGAAGTAGAAGATTAGTCTAGAAAGTAAACAAGAAAATTTACAACAATTAAGTATGAAATTGTTGGAAAGATGGTGCTGTCTGCGTGTGTTAGCCGAAACTTGTTAAAAACTGAAATTAATCACTCTCAAGAAAGGAATTAAAATGCATAAAAAAAGGACTTTAAAGATTATAAGCACTAAGCAATAGCAGTTGTTAAAGATTCCGAAAAGAGGAAGCTCAGAAAACAACTTATCAGCATTACAGATTACAGAAACCCTTTAAGATCTAGATATTAGTCATTTAAAAATTTCATTCATTATATATATGACATAGCAAGAAATTACCAATTAAGCATTTCTTGACAAAAACCTTTTTCCCCCAAAAAATTTGCTACTCTATAATAGCTTTCAGATACCAAACAAAATGGAAAAACTATTTGAGAGAGTGAATGAGTTTTGGTTATTGAGATAGTAATGAAACTTTTGGGAAAAATTAAAAAAAAAAAAAGAGAAGTGAAAAATTCAAAGGAAAAGAAGAGAAAAACCCTATAGATGAAAGTTGAGTTTCTTGTTTTCGCCCTTTTTTTTTTCCTTCTGACCAAAGGGACCACAGGAAAATTCTTTAAAATTTCATTTTTATTTCCTTCATTGTTTTCCACCTTGGTTTCTCAGCAAGCAAACAAGGACTCAAAAAAGCATCTGCTATAAAAACGTTCTTGTTAAAAAAAAAAAAACTCTATATACTTGAATGCAACGAGAATCATGATCCCAAAAGGCAAAAGAAAGAAAGTAAGAAAGAAAATTAACAGATCTATCGTTCTAAAGAGCAAATCTAATCAATCCCAAGAAGAAGAGGCAAAAATTACAAAACATAATCATTTTTTTATAAAAATGTAAACAAAACTCATACACAGTAAAATACACACATTGATCCACAGTGCCTTACATAGGCATTCAAATACATATAGAATCCATGAAAACATAGCTCTTTCTTGTAATGTAAAAACAGGGCATAGAAATACATGTATTAAGTAGAAATGGTAAGGATTAGAGTACGATTGTAATGGAGGAGGAAAAATAAAGCACCAGAAACAATGGCGGCGTTTGTAACACACGCGCCGACAGTGAAGAGCAGACTGAAGACCGAAGAGTGTGTATCAGCTAAGTAGTTGATAGACAATTGCGTGAAATGAAAGCAAGCTACAGATCGGCAATTATGTAGGGCTCTAAACACACTCGGATTCCAAATGCTCATTCAATTTGATTTTCGGAGCGGTTTGAGCACAGCACGCACAAAAACTGACACAATAAATCAAATCAAAACCTAAAACTCTTCGTTCTAAATTGGCATTCAAGCTTTATGAAAATATTTGTAATAGAGAACGAAATTTTTTGGGCACGAGGTCAAAAGAAGCATTCCAATAAAAATTTAATAATTTTTATCATTTTATTACAATCCATCAAATTTTAAATATTTTATTTTAAATTATTTATGTTTATTCAGTTGAATCTTTAAATACTTACTTTTATTTTAATTAAATTTTTAATTAAATAAAAATGATTATTGATGATTAATCGATTTTTATCTAATAAAAATACAATTAATAAAAATAAATGTTTGAAAATTTAATAGATTATAATAAAATAATTATTAAATTTGTAAGGGGTTTTTTTAATCGAAGAAAAAAAAATGGTGTTTGATTCGTCGGAAAGTGCAAGAAGATCTAATGAAGAAAACTGCTTAAGATTTAATTACTTTTTTTTAAAAATTAAATACTTAAAATTTATGAGAATTTATTCGTAAGGATTTCAAAAATTTTTAATTTATTTATTAATAAGTATTAGGATATGATTCACGCAGAATCAAATATTTAATTTCTCAATATATTTTAAGAGTTTTTAATTTTTCTTTTAATTTTTACTTTCTTTAATTTTTAATTTACCATTTTTTTTTTAGTTTTCAATCTAGAGTGGTGGTTTGGATCTTTTTCTTTATGTTTTGGTTAACTATTCATTTTGTAGACAAATTAAATAGGTTAATTAAAGTGAGCTAAAGAAGGTTGATTTGATGTTGGTGGGTGTGTAGAATTAATAACATGCTTTTACAAAATTATTGGATCATCTTATGATTAGTTTAAAAATTTTAAATTGAAGAAAGTACGTCTAAAAAATATGATAATAAAAACTATGGTTAAAAATTTTAAATATTTAATATTATTGTAAAAAAAATACTATGAGTAATTAAAATGTTTAAAAATATATATAAAATAATAAAATATTAAAAATATAAGGTAATATAATAATTTTCTATTTCGAAAATACTTATTCACCGAAAAAACACTTATTGAATAATTTTTTTAATTTGAATTACAAAATCAAAATTTTAAACTGAAAAGTCATATATATTTTTATTATTTAAAATTGAGATTGAATTAAAAACAGTTTTTAAATACAAAAACTATTTTCAATAATAAAACTAAATTAGACCGTAATATAATTTAAATATAAATCTTCTTGTAAGAATAATTGTAGCATTGCATTGTTGAAATGACATGAGTAAGAGATAGCAGACAGAGTAAAAATGAGCAATTCTAAAGAATCTTGGCTTTAAGTGGTAGGTGATAGAACGATGAGTCAGAGATGATGCCTCCAAAAGAAAGGGTAGTGGAAAGGAGATGTTCCCTTATAAGAGATGGGAATGAGCGTAATGAATAGGAAAAATAAAGCTAAAAGAAAATGTGTAGTGAGAGACTTGTAACAGAGTCAATGTTAATATCTCTTTAAGAGTTTGTGTTCAAATTACTAGAAAAGACATCATAATGATTTGTGGTCATAAAATGAGAGTAAATTCAAAGATATCATGTGTCAATAACGTCACAAGGGAAATTCTTGCCTACGAGAAATTTTTTTTTTTCAAAAAGTGTTTCCCTACTTTAAAACCCATCAAATCAAAATTCTCTTAGACATATCAACTAATTAGGTCTAACTTTAGAATTTGTCACATATTTTTAGAGTTAAGCTCATATCAATTATTTAAAGATTAATATCATGAATTATATTTAAATTATAATAAAATATTTAATATAATATATAAATTTTAAAAATATTTAATGTGATATTTGAATTATGAATTTATTAATTAAAAACACTTGTGAATTGTTTGTCTACCACATATCATCATTTGAAACTAGTTACTTTAAAGGTGAGTACTATATTAATTAATAGATTTATAGTTATGATATTATATTAGAAATTTTTAAAATTTAAAAATAACATTGAATATTTTATTATAATTTAGAAGCCATTTATAATATTAACTCATTATTTAATAATCACATGTGAGTAAATGTTAAGATAAAAAATAAAAGAATTAATTAATTTATAAAACATGCCAGGTAAAAATAAATTCAAGGAAAAAACAAAATTAATAATGATTGCAACATAGAAACCTATTTTTATTTAAATAATTTTGATATAAGGTGATCATTCAAAAAATCTATGGTGATTTACATATAATAATTGAATCATTATGTTTGGTAACCATTTAATGATCTTATATGACAGTGATCTTGGATCACTAAGAGTAATTAAATCACTATCATGGAGAAATATTTAATTCTCATCCAAAAGGGTGTGAAACTTTTGTCACTGAAATGAAGTGACATGTAAAATTAGCAATAGTTAATATCACTTATTTAATATGTGAATTAAAAATTGACTTTTTTTCAAAAGTAATTGTAATTATTTTATATTATAAATTTTTGTATTTTTTAATTAATATTCATTGTAACAAGATCAAAAATAATTTGTATGATTTTTTTAATTTTTAATATATAATATAATCTTTTGATATTAATAGATCAGTTTTATTTTCTAATTCAAATATATTTTACATAATTTATACTATAAAAACTAGTTTACCTCTCATTAAATATAATTTTAATTTAATAATTTAATAATATTTTATTTTAAAGTAAATAAAATATTACTAATATTTTACAAATTATTATCTTTAAATAATATTAAAATCATTAACTTATATAGCTATTATAATGGATATGGTTATTTTGGTACTTTTCAAACAAAATAATGTTTGATTTTTAATAATATCAAACATAATGACTTTTAATTGCAAAAAATTAATTATTTCTAACCAAACAAAAAGATTTCAAATTACAAGTAAAAAGATTACCTTAGTAATAAAATCATCTTGGTAATTAAATTATCATGATGACATTAAAAATGATATCAAATGCTACCTTAAGAGTAGTGTGGAAAAAAATTATAATAGAAGATAAAAGTGAAATAACTAAAGTGAGATTATAAAGTTGGAGAGAAAGGTGAGGAAAGTAAGTACTAAGGAATTCTATGAATACCTGACAATCTAAAATATGATATAATGACATGACATGAAAACGATATAAAAAAAGACATAAAAGCGATACGATTTAAAATTTTAGTAAAAATCATATACGAGTTTAACAAAACAAAAAAAAAATATCTCGTGTTTTCACGTCACACAATTTTTGACATACAATTTTTGTGTAAAACATGACACGAATACACGAATTGTCAATTTTTTACACAACATGAATACACAAATTGCAAGTCATTATGATGGTTTTTCTATTGGAAAACCTTGCAATTAGACCTTTTTCAAAATTAATACCATATGGAAGATAGTTGGGTTTTGCTAAAGACCTTAAGCCGTTATTGTTACCATTATTGACTAAGGAATCTCCTAGCACAAACATTGCCAAAAACTAAGGCGTTCTCACCTCCACACCATTTGAGATTGAGATTGAAATTGTAACCAGCAAATAAAAGCTCAGGTCAGGGTCCTCATTAATGTCAAACTCATGATATCTATCTTTAGGTTTTGATTTCTTCTTTTCCACAATTGAATAAAAAGATGAATTGTAAATAAGAGATGATGATGCTTCTTTTGTAAAAGTTAAAATAACTTTGAACCAACGGTGATCTATAAAGGACAGAGATGATGATCATTTATATATGATACTTATTTCTTATTGATTATTTCCAACAAGCTATTTGCATTTTCTTGTCCTTTTTTTATGTCGGTAAGGGGGTTTAATGTTTTGAAGGTTGTTTGAAAGTAGAAATCAACAAAAAAGCACACTAAATTTTGGTTCACAGAAATTGTGAAAGATGGAGTGATTTTTTATTGATGGGAAATGAATAGAAGTTCACTCTTAAGATTAGATACTAAGAGATATAAAAACACCAACTTAAGAACTTTAATTAAAGATATAAAACTGAATAAAACTCACCACTTTATGGAAATCTACTAAAGATATACAAAGCTAAAGGCTACAATCTTAAAAGACTGTAAAGCTAAAAATAACACTCAAAGTCCGCCCATCAACTATCTAAAAACTAAAATACATAGAAAAAAGTCTTGGAACATCCCTCAAAGTTTAGGAAATAAAGTGTAAATACAGATTATTAAGAATCCTTGAAATTGAGGAACTTGATTTCACACTCCTTAATTGTTGAGATAGTGGCTGGATTTAAGGAGTTATTATCAAGTGGTTTAATAACTAAAATCAATATCCAAAAATTAAAGAAATAAAGTAAATTCACTTAAATATAGAGATTGCATTCTGAATTTAAGAAATCACAACCAATCCCACCAATGAAGAGATTGTTACTCAGCAAATTAAAGTCATGGATTGACTTTTCTTTGCTTTGTGGCATAAAGTTGTTGATGCCAACACGTTAGTGTCAATCTTTCTCAGTTAAAAAAGACTTGTCCTTGTGTCCACAATTTTTTCAACTTCTAAGTATGGTATAAGCTTAGAATACTTTCTATTAAGGAATCATTCTTTCTTCCATTGAATCTATAGAAAGTCACCATCCTTGAATGCAATTGATTCTCCATGCTTGTATAATTGCTTGAAAGTGGCTTTTGGTTGTAGGAAAACCAAAGCAACCTTTAATTTATTTTCTTTTTGACATTATTAAATCTTGCAAGGTTGTAAATGTTCTGTTAGCTTTAGTTTTAGAATATCTGCCTTTGTTATTGTCAGCATGTTTGTGCATATTCCACCT